GCAGAGAGTTAGACTTAGAGAGGTGGTGGAGGTTGAAGAGAAAGAGTGGCACGCATAAGTGCGTCATTATATGCTCTCGATCTTCAGCCGTTGATTACATAAGCAAGTTAGGTATCAGTTGCCCAAGATAATCTAAGTATAATGTACATATTATATACTTATAGTATACTTTTATTAAGATAATAGGGTACAATAAGTGCTCTTACACTATTATATACATTAATATACCTTTTGCATAAATTATTAGATAACAATAGTTATTATTACATTATTATATTATAAATATAACTCTTTTTTTAAGATTATAATTTAAATGTAATACAAGTATAATACTTTAGGTTATCATACAAAGTTAGTATAATACATGTAATAGATTTTATTCATCCTTAGTACTTATATAGTCTTTATATACATTAATATGTCTTATTTAAACATTACAGTTCATTTACAAACCTTACAATTACTTTACAATGTATATACAATACACATGTTACTTTACAAAGTCTATAAGAAATTACAAGAAATGTGACATTTTCCTGATGTATGTGCTAGCCTCAAGCTTGACATCTACATAGTGTGTTCAAAGCCACATCATAAAGCAGGTTACAGAATCCTGCAGAGAGTATTTTAAATTATATAGTAAAATCTATTTGCTGACTTCGACAAGGGTAAATTGACTTCGTTTAGACAGTATAACATTAAGTATGTCTGTATCCTTAATCCAGAAGATCATCCTCATCTGCTTTGTCCGATCCTTTGTGTTCAGGATATATGTTCTTGCCTCTCCATCCATTCACTATCTTAGAATTCTGTTTCAATTTACGAACCATCTCGTCGTCTTTTCCGAGTTCCTTTTCTTTCGCTACCGAATGCACCTTTAGTACGTCAGCGTAATGCTCAACCGCTTCTCTGTTGAGTTCGCGCATACCCTCTAGATCAACTTTTTGAAGCCTTCTATTGAAGTCATCCAACTTCTCACTTGAGTACCCGCAGTCCTTGCATACACTGATTATGGTCGTAACTATCTGTCCAAGTTGTGCTTTCTCGTTGGTTCCATGGCTTTTATCTGAGGTCTTCTTTGGTGCAGCTCTGATGGCCAGGTCAGTATTTGACATTGTTGAAGTTGACGGGTGGTTACAGTCTGAAGTACACAGATGTCGATGGGTTGTTATCAAGCTCTATAAATGAAATATCCCGAGTTGAAGTATTAAGCAATAGCAGAATAAGCAAACTGGCGTCTCCTAATGATTGTAACTTGGAAGCTGCAAAGCAATTCGTTTCTCCATTTAGATGTGCAAAGCTCAAAGGCATATCCGCAATCGGAAATGCTCGATAATATTGCATTTCATGTCTGGCAACCTTACGGCTTCTAACGTACTTGGCGTACCGGTTAGCTTGAACCGGAAGTGATCTAGTGCAGAAACATGGGTTCGAGCTTCCCGCTCAGAATGTCTAGTTTGTGAGCCCTTGTCGCTTCCGTTACTAAAGAATATGCTTCGAGTTTTGGTGGGAGGTATGGGCATAAGTGACATCTAGAGTGTTCTAGCAACATGAATAATAGGAGTTGATTGGCGCTTCATTATAGCAGGACACGAACAATCTTCCAAAAGGGAGCCAGAGGTTTACCGATGCAAAACTTGGTCATGGCTAATGAAGAAGCCGTCAGAACAAAGCACGATCATGTTGAGTACGAGCCGCGGGCACAGAAAGAAGCTTGCTAGACGAAGCACAATGAGGTTGTATGCAACTCGTGGCACAATTCACGCCAGTGTTTAGTTTCTTATCCAACATTCTGGTAATCTATTTTCGGAGGAACATGTATCTGAGATTACCGCTGAATGATCTGCATCCGAGACGGAGCTTTTTTTTCTACAGCGATTAGTAAGCTGTGCACAACATTGAAATTGATAAGGACTGTTGGCTTGCCTAGATTTATGACCACCAGAACATTAGGGAATCTTGACGGTACCGACTCGGGATGGTGGAAGATGGTGCAACAAGTGCAGCGATAGGTATGACGAAGAATGCCGATTATCGTGAGATTGGATGATACTGATAAGGCAATGGGCTCTCATACGGACCTTTCTCGTAACAGGCGTCTTACTCCCATGGTTGCCTCACATCGATGTTTGACCACCGGACATTGGACAAGGTCGCTGAGACGGAAGATGCTCGAATAATTTGCCGACTAGATATATAAATAAGCCTAGGGGCGCACCATGCCCACAGTTCATGTGCTTCCCCTCCAAACGGACAAAGTCGAACGTAGAAGATCAACCGTCTTCTACTCCAAAGCCCCAGCCCAGTTCTCAACAGCCCCAGGCGCCTGCTACCACTACAACCTCTTCCACCGTAAACAGTCCGAAGATGGCCCCTAGAGTTGCCATAATCATCTACTCGATGTATGGCCACATTGCTAAGAGTGTGTTCCCATTTCTCTTTTCTCACCTCAGTGCATATACTGATAAGTCCCTAAGTGGCAGAAGCTGTCAAGTCTGGTGTCGAGTCGGCGGGTGGCACGGTCACTATCTATCAGTGGGTGGACACCTGCCCTGTTGCAATATGTTCAGTCTGACGTCGTTCCCTCAGGATCCCTGAAACCCTTTCAGAGGAAATTTTGGCTAAACTCCACGCGCCCCCTAAGCCCCCGTATCCGATCATCAATCCCAACGACCTGACCAACTTTGACGCGTTCCTACTGGGTATCCCTACTCGCTACGGTAATTTCCCAGGCCAGTGGAAGGTACGTGTGCCACTCCCTGCATCATCTGGAAATGTTCTCCGTCTGTACATTTATCCGGGCGCTCTATACTCACGTGGTTCCTTATGTTTATAGGCCTTCTGGGATGCGACTGGTAGTTTATGGGGTCAGGGTGCATTGTATGGCAAGTACGCGGGGATTTTCGTGAGCACCGCATCGCCTGGTGGTGGGCAGGAGATGACTGCATCGAACGCAATCTCTACGCTCACACATCACGGCATTGTGTTCGTTCCCTTCGGATACAAGAACGCGTTTGGCCATCTCACAAACCTTAATGAGGTACATGGTGGCTCTCCTTGGGGAGCTGGTACTTTCGCGGGTGGCGATGGCTCGCGCCAGCCGAGTGCTCTTGAACTCGAAATTGCAACTATCCAGGGAAAAACGTTCTATGAACTCGTAACAAAGGTCACTTTCTAGTCATCCCACAGACTTACATTCGCTATGTGTCGAACAATCGAGCCGTGCTTCAACCGCACAATGCTATTTCTGCCGGAAGAACAAGGACATTTGCGATACACCCATGCTCTCTATATAGATTACCTCCGCCGAAATAAATGTAAACGCTTTCTCTGTTGACTTTTTTTGCTTTCGTGTGGTTGAATCCCATCAGTGAGCGGTGTGGAATTCCGTGATTAACGCCGAGAACCTCGGGCATCCAATTGATAATCTGAGTTCTACCGACTTCACATACATTCGTCGCTTCTTGTGCTATGCAAGAAGCACAAGGAAAGGAGCGTCTTATCATTGAACAAGAGAGGCATCTCAGGCCAAGAACTCTCTTCGGGGACTTTCACTCTATTCTCACTAATACACTCTGCCATAGGAATACAGCAGTTGATGCTGTCACAGGCTATTTTTGGTGTCTCTTCCCGCGTTCCTTTGAGAAATTCTACTAGGGGTCAGAAAGTGAACGGCGTTCTTCAGTCGGGATCTCTTGGGTCTATTTATACATAGTACCACCCTATGTCCGTCCTATCATGCTCAATCCTTTATGGCAGGCTGTCCACTTCGAGTACTTAATTTATGGTAAATAAATGTTTACTATGTAGAAACCTGCCATCGAGTCCATCCAATCATCTTTGTATGATTAAATGTTTAAATAATCTGTAACCAATAAATGTCGGGCACAAACCATGACTGCAGCTCCTAAAATCAAAATATTTCAATTATATAGAGAGCTCTGATAGTTATGCCAACCTTGTCATGTTGCACATGACAAGCAGTATGGCAAAAATGCTGGTTTTCATTGCCCACACAGTATCATGCCAGAAACTATAACAGTAATGCTTAAACGACCAGACAATGATATGCAAACTTTGTACGTACATAAGTATATACAGTAATACAAGTTATACAGAGGATCAATCTTTCCTGAATTCCGGATTCTCCAGAAAACAATATTTATCGTCATCAATTACAACATCTCTGAAAACAAGACCTGGAAGAAACAGTCATAAGGATGCTACTCATTCAGATAACGGCAGGTCGTGCTACAAGTATCCATATCAACGACTGTGAGACACGTTTCAATCAAAGCAGGGTCTGATTCAATTTCTGAAGGTCTACAAATTGTAAGGACAAGGACAAGGACAAGGAATTCCTGTTCTCACATCAGGCATTTCACAATTTCTTGCCTTAAAAAATAACTTACATAATGTTAAATATAATTCATAATTTAATTTACCATTTTTGGTTGATAGAAATTGTAAACAACATTTAAAAATTTCTTTAGACAAAAACTATAAATTAATTTTGGCATATCTTTATTTGTGAAATCTTGAAATAAATGAGAATAATTATTTAAAACATAATTTGAAGTTTCTTTTAAAACAAAATTATAAATTTTCTTTCAAATTTTAAGACAAAAAATATTTAGAATTTCATTTATAATATTAAATCTTATAAAATATTAAAAGAAATTTAAAATTTTACCTAGAGAAGAAATAGCCAAAAAAAATTTAAAATTATTTCAAAGTGGG